ATAATTAAAGTCTGATATTTCAGTGTATGAGATGTACAGCGCTGAAGCAAAGCACTTGATACTTGCAGTTAGAATTGGCTGATCTGTCACTGAAAGTACTCACCTGGGAAGACAAGACTGGAAGGGCTTTTCTGGCTCATGGAGTTCAAGCTTGGTTTCTGCAGAGCCTTTCCTTGTTGTGTGTTGTCATATGGTGTCTTTAAGTGGTTGCGTTTCTTTTTCCACCTCTGCCTTCTGAATGTGGAATTTCAGATGGGGATTAACTTCTTCCTGCCTTTAGTATTACCATAGTAAAATAATACGGCCTATTCATGTTCTACTAACATGAGTTGGATCAAATTTAAATTTATTTCTCTTTTTACGATAATTTTTTTCACATTTTTCCTGTAAGAGGATAATATACTTAGAAGTATGTTTCAGTGACTAAGTAAAATGCCATCAAAACTAGTAGGAAAAATAAATAAATTAGAAGTCTAGGTCTTCTGGCTTTTGCAGAATTTCTTAATATTTGTGTGCTTGGGAACCTTTTATACTGTCTGTAGTTCAACTGATCTGCAGCAGCAGGGTCTCAGATGAGTATTAATTCATAAAGCTTACTGGGAAAGAAGCTAGTCTGAAGTTGTAGAACCTTATTTGACTTTGTATGTTAACTTTGATTTTTAATTTGTGCCTTGTGGTTTTCATGTTGGGTCAAGGAGCAGAAGAAAATTAGTGTTTAGGGAGGGAATGGCATCTGCAAAGGAAAAATTTCTAGGTTCATTTAAGACTTCTAGAGACCCTTTTCATCTATTCCTTCCCTCACTTCTTCCCAGAATTTCCAGAAGTGCTTCTCAGAGAAATGTATTTAAACATATTTATCTGTTTCTGAGATAGTTTCTGTGTTGAGGAGATGTGCCCTCTTTAGTTGGGAGTTCAAGAGTGAGATGTTAAAAAGGACTGATATTTTAGACAACCTTAAAGTTTCAGTAATCTAGTTCACATTAACAGTCAGTGATATAAAGGGAATAAATAATTTCTGTCATTTTTCACTTTTCTAGTAATGGGTTTTTCATTGTGATTCTCAAGCATTAAGGTCAATGCTTACACTGTCCTAGCTTTAATGGTACACTGGAGTGAAATAAATTGCAGGTGATGGCTGATGCCACTAGTAAATGAGATTTCATGAACTTTGCTGTGGCTTCTTTTCACCACCTCTACAGCTGCCTGCTCAGCCTCTGCCAGGTGTTTCTGCCCACGCAGCACAGTTGGCAGAGCAGATGAGTGCCCGTGCCTCGTTTCACAGAATGCAGTCTGACATGTTAGCTTACATTGCAGATGAGCAGGGCTTCTTAGTTGAAGATTAAATCACAGTTTGCAGCAAGGCAGCTTCTGAAGCTGTTGTTAGAATGCTCCCTCTTGGGAGAGGGGCAGAGTAGACAGCTCCAGGCATAAACGCTTTAAACATTGCCGTAAGAGGCAGAGGTTTGGCAAAATTCTAGGGTTTTGGTTTTTTGGTTTTTTACAAGTATAGCTGATAGTGCTGGAGGGTGTGTGGGAACTCTGCAATAGGCCTGTGTAAGTTTGCAGCCCTGGATAGCTTCCAGATGGACACCTTGAAATGCTTGCACTTGCAACTACTGTAAAAATCAGCCAAAGTCATTCTTTCAAGATCTGCTTTTCCTGACCTTGAACTTCAGTTTGTGGGACTTTGGAAAAAAAAAAAGTACAGCCTAAGACTGTAGTAGCTTCTTGTTCTTGTTAGGCTACATTTGCATTTACATGTAGACTACTTAAAAGGAGTTTTCATTTACCTTCTTTTTTCTTTGGCAAAGAAATCCCAAAGTCAGGATTGTGTGCATCTCAGTAGTTTCTTTCAAATCAGATCAGACAATGTTTGTTGCTTTGAATTTTGAAATTTTGTTAGCAAAGAGATTTCATTATATCTGAGAGTAAATTACATTTCAGCTACTTCTCAGCATGGGATCATTCAGTTAATGCTCTGAATTCAGACAACTAAAACTGGGAAGTAAGTCAGCTTTGCTGTTCAGACCAAGTTAATTTCAGTTTTGTTTGTACTAGATTGATGCACATTTCTAAGGCCTGAGCAGTTTTTAGATTCACCTTTACTTGGTTTGTGTAGAAAGTTGTTTGCATGTGTGAAACCTGCTTGGCATGTGGTCTGCAGCTGACAGTACCTTTAACCAACCAATATGTTCCCACATGGTCCTGATTTGAATGGTACTTAATTTCCATGTCCTGCTCATAAACTCCCCCTAAAGCTGGGTAACCTGACCATGGTGAGTTCTGAAGTGAAGATGACCCTTTTTTAGGGAATTTAAATACACAGGAGAAAGTTTTCATCCAAGAGATGTGACAGAAGTTTTGCTTATCTGAATATAAGAAATGGAATTAATAGGGTTGAAGAGAAGTGGCTATGCTGGAGACTTCTACTGTGGTGCTGGAAACCTTCTGGAGGTAAAGTCTTCTGTTAAGTTTGTCTTTAACCACAGATAAAGAACCCCAAAAACCCCAAACAAAACCCAAGACACACAAAAAAAAAAAACCCCAGGAAAATTACTTTTTGAGATAGGGGAAGACAGTAGTCCAGGAGTGTGATCTGACTTCGAGCTGGGGAGGGGTTTGGTTTTGAGAGGAATACCATTGCCTGTGTTCTGAGTAAATGAGGTCTTTTTTCTCTCTGTTTTGCAGTACAGAGTGCCAAATGTCTCTGATACCAGTATTTGAAGAATGTACTGTTCACTTGCATTGAAGAACGTCATGTTTGCATGTCTGCTTGAAATATTTAAATAAAAATGTAGTAATATGTCATTTTGAGACTACAGGAAAGATGTGTTGATGTTTTGAAGCCTTTTTTTTCTCTGTAGAATTCAAAGTGGATGTAAAAGTTGAAACACCTTTATTTCATTAAGTGGAAGAAGGTAGCCCTGGTATCATTCCTTTGCTACTTTGAATTTTTATGAATTTAAATATATTTTGAGTTGAGGGCTTCACAAAGCATAGTGTTGGTCAGTTTGTAGTACAGCAGCTTGAAATGCAGAGAGTCTTTAGATGGCCTGAGTCAGTGCTTATGAATGTAATACCTGCAAATGAAAAGGAACTGATGATTTTAGTTATATAAGTTTTTTGTACTTAAAATTGTTACATGTTTTAACATTGCAGTTTCATAGGCTCCTACTTGCTACCACAGGAGTGTTTTTCAACACTTTATGTAGTTCTTGCAGTTGAAGTCTGCTAATATTAGAGGAATAATCTGAGATTTGCCTGAGCAGGCTATTTTTGCATGCCTTACATGCATAGTGAGGCATGAGGCCAGTCATTATCTGTTTTCTGCCAGGAGTGCATTGTTAAGATATCAGCTTGTTTTAATGACTGTTACTATCAATCTTAAAAAGCAGTATCTTGCTATGAAAATAATTTTGTATTTTTGAGCTAGGAAACATAATTTTCTAGGAGGATAGTGCAAGTATTGCTCTCACTTTAAATGTACTGAAATTCTGCTGTAATATATGTCCAGTCTTAGACACACAGCTGCTGGGACCATGAGCTGCTCATTGTGACCAGCACTGGGCTTTATTGTTTTGGTTTTCATCTTGAAGCAGCTTGGAGATCTGTCTTGGAAGGGGTCATTACTGGATCACCAGTAATATTACCAGCATAAATGTTACATACCTTCTTCTTTCAATAGACTGTCTTTTTGGGAGAATCTATGTGGGGTCATATGCCCATTTGCAATTTTCTTAGATAGTTTCTGGAATAATAAAGTTTCAATGTGGTGTTGGAGAAGAGTGGTTTTGCAGTTGTTGTTCAAATGCCTCCTGGGTTATTTTGTTTTCCCTGCTATGTTATTGTTCCATTTAGAGTATGCAATAAGAATAAAAATATGGAAAGGTATTCTATACTTTTTATATATTTTTATCTCTTTTAATGGGGATGGGAGCCTACCCCTCTTCCATGCAGGTATTTGTATATTTCTTTAATGTGCCCAGTTGTACATATAAAGAAAGGAAAATTTTATGGAAAGATAATGTCTTAGTTTTTTACACTGACCGGTGTCTTTTTACAGGCTAGAAGATGTACTATGAAGGCAACAGCATATAGTTTGTTGATCAGTTTTTATTTTTTTCCTAGAGCTAGTCATAATGCCTAAGTATGTGTTTATCTTGAACAAAATAGAGAAAATGGAGGATGATGACAAAGCACTAAAGTGTCATTTATTCTGTTAAACCTGTACTACAGAATACAGACCTTTTAGTCACTGATAGTTACAGTGCCTTTAGTATTTTAGCCCTAAATGCCAAATGTGGCATCTCACAGTGCTGTGAGGGCTGGCTAGTTAATATGGTCCTCACTGTGGCTCAGGCTCACACTGAAGTCAGGTTTCTTTGTAGCCATTCCTATTTCACTGGCTTTTCATTTTGTAATTGAAAGTAATTTCTAAGAAAGGTATATATGGCCTTCTTAAAAAAAAGTACTTTTCTTGCCATTTGAGCATTTGTATGGGCCAGCTAGTTACTTTACTTTTTGATCTTTAGCACTTTGGAACATTCTATTATATGGGGCTTTGAGGGAGATACCTGGGAATACCATTTTTTTTCGGGGGTGTAATGGATAGAGAGTAGAGCATTTTTTGACAAGCTAAGCCGAAGGTTTAGGCATCTTGCCTTGTTTGTAGGTCCCTTGGTCTCCTTGCTCAGTTCACTTTGTGCAATGTATTTTTCTGCAAGTGAATTAAAACTGACATTATAAGTCCTTGTTTGGATAGCAGATTTTGGAACATGTTTGCCTTTTAGTTTGACATATACTTCTGTGTTTCTCTTTAAGAAGTTGACTTCAATTGTATAATTTCATATTCCTGGAAGTAATGGAAGCTTTTTCCTTGCAAGCATATTGCCTGATTTAGCTAAATTGAAAGCAATGAAAATGTTGTAATGAAAGAAAAGCAAATAATGATGATCGATGTATATTAACATGATTGTCCTTTTTGTTTTTGTTTTTTTCAGGAGAGAAATAGAAACAAACAATAACTATATGGAGATGTCCTGCTAGAATACAACACTAATGATGTAGACTCTGGAAATGCCTAATATGTCTAAGAAGACGTTATTAAAGCTTTTTTCTGCTTAAGGTGACATCTTTGAACACTTTAACACGAAATTGACTCTTCTTGTAATGGTTCTCATCAGTGCATCTGCCCTTATACTCTCTCACCAAACACACTTGAGAACTGTACCTTCGTCAAGCACTTTCTGTCCTGAAGCTTTTACCAGTATCTGCTGTCTTTTGTATTTATGCATCCTAGCTAAGGCACAGGAGACCGAACGAATGCAAGGATTCATTAACTCTTTGAATTTGTTAAATACTAACATTTAACCATTAGAAGTGGTTCAATGATGTGAGATTCACATTGCTTCAACTTAATTTTTTTCTTTGTTGTAGTTTTTTTAATTGTCAGTTTTTAGCTATTCAACAGATTAAAAGCAAATCATGCCATATTTAGTCCTGGAGTAAAACTCAAGTCTAAATGTTCATGTGAAAATTATTGTAGTAATCTTTTAATATGGCAAAGCAACTTTAAGCTGCAGTTTAGCCAAATGAATCGTAACATGAAATTATAATAGAATGACATTTCCCTTGTTTCAAACTGTTTGGTGTAAGAGAATATTAATATGCAGCTTGGTGGACACCACCAGTTAATGCACATTTCTTTATTTTTTTTCTGTAACATGTATACTGAAAAAAAGTGCATTTGTCTGAGGAACTGTTTGTTTGCTACCACTCAATGAATCTCAGTTTTGAGTAAATGTACCTCAGTCTAAATCAGACTTTTTATGACCTTTATAACTACATTTAAAATAATCTTTAATTCCTATTTCTGGGTGTTTGCAAGCCTGACAGATTGCTATCATGAAAGTGAAAATTTACTCCTCTAGGTGATTCACTAGCTAAATAAACATAATTCTTGTTTAGCAAGCATATACTCTGTTTCTCAAATTTTTTTGTTTCATTGTGCCAACGTCGAGGTGTTTTTCCCCGCATTCGAAAACATTTTGAGAAAAATACTTTGGTCTGTGGAGCTGACATATTCATACCCATGTTAAGATGATTTTTGTTAGAACCATGCAATACAAATTTTAGAATACATATTAAACAGGCCAGTTCTATACTAGTTTTTAACCTCTAGAGATTATATCTTCTGTTTCAGCTCATATAGCAACACATTCTGTCTGCTGGAAGAGAATATTGAAAAACTGTTAAGCGGGTGTATTGACTGTACAAATTACTGAACAACCTGTACCAAACTCCAGGGATAGCTTTCCCTTTTTAGAACAGCAATGTAGAAGTCAGATATCTTACAGCTCAAAATAGCAGTGGCACATATTATTTGAACATGTTTCATGTCTTACTGTCCAACACAGATGTTTATATTGTGTTTCAAGTCCTTCATTGACAGATTTTGGCAGTCAAAGTTCTGGAGCTTAAGTAGCAAAGGTTTGTTTTGAATGCAGACGATTTTGCTGACTTTTGCTTTCTCTCTTCTTAAGCCCTTTGCACTCTTACAGACAAGCAAACACAAGAAGTTCAATGCACACTTCTTGCTCATTATTTTAAATATTGTTAGAGAGTGCAGAGTAGCAGATACGAATCTTAATTTTTACTGCCAGTTATCTGGAAGCTCAAAAGGGAAGCTACTCCTGTACTTTGGAGTAAAGAAGCAATGTCACTTAAATGTTAGATGTGTAACAAATAGCAAGTGGGATAAGGGAGGGTTAAGCAAAGTGCATATTGTAAGAGGAGACTGAGAGACAAAGGTTTCAAGCCTTAATCCCTATGAAATTTGGCTTCAGCCCAAAAATTAATGCTTCCATGCATATCTGTTTCTTGCTAACAGGTTTTATAGCTATTTGTTTCCCTCTGTGGGCTGATTTATTCCAACTGTCATTGATCAGCTGAAGTGGCAAAGGTCAGTGTTGTGAGTCCAAGGAATGTAGTTTGTCTGTGATCCCTCAAGGTATTCGCATGTTTCTGACTCTGTTACAAAAATATCTTAGGAAAATTCCCAGAAGTTTCCAGTTACCAGAAAGCTAATGTTGGAGTCAAGCATTCAGGAATTGATTGCATGTGCAACCCTAGTTTGCTTTCACTGCAGTATTCATATTTTTGCAGGCTTTGTTAGTATTTCCTGCCTTACCCCATGCCTTTTTTATTCTAATAGCATGAGCATTGCTCTTATAATGAATCAGGTTTAGTATCAAGTGGGTTCGTCACTCTGTTGCAGGCTTTGAAAGCTGGGAAGATGAGACAGGATTGTGAGAGAAGGAGGTGATCACATTTAGAGAGCTGTGACAGTTCTTGCACTGTTCCAGGATTGTTAGCAAATCTACAAATAGAAGAGTTTGATTGCTGATGGTGTTAGTCATGTTGCGACCGATTTGCTGACTGCTGAGAGTTTAGTATGTGCAGCTGAAACTAAAAGGAATTTTATGTGCATATAAAGTACTGTACAAATAGTATATTACATTGTAAAATCAGCTGTGGAGTGCTGTATTAGTTAATGGACATGTGAAGCTTCTAGCCTTCAGCTTCCTTGTGCACAAGTTCTTTTCCTCCAGAAAGAAAAGGAATGGTGCTTATTATCTCAAATAAATGTAGAAATGCCTTTTTTTGGTCTGATTTTTCAATATGGTGAAGGTGTTAAAATGATTGCTTTCTAACTTGCTAATGGAGGAATCAGTGGAACCCCGTTTCTGTTCCTGATGCCTCCTCCTTTGTGCCAGCTTTTGTTTTCCTGTGGTCCAAACTGAGCCAGTTGAAGCAGTTTTCTGTTGCTTTAATGGCTGGCCAGTTCTCTGTGATGTTAAATGTGTAGAAGGGAGATGGTGGGAGGGTAAGAAAGATTTGTTCTTTCAGAAGCAGGTACCCACTGTTGCACTTAGCTGCACCACGTCTGGGGTTGGTGAGCCAGAGATGTGGCAGAATATTTAAAAGTGGGAGAGGCTCCCCAGGGGAGGAAAAATCAAACCAATTCTTCCAGTGTAAGATTTTGGTAGTGCACAAGTGAGATACGATGTTGTCACACATTTAGTGATATGAGGAGGAAACACTGAATATTCTCCATTTTGATTTCTTCTTCCAGTCTGAGGAGGCCTAAGAATTGTCCTGGAAAGTTGCTGTGGAAAAGTTTGTCCTACCAACACAGGTGGGACAAACTAAGATTGTAAGAGTTTTGCTCACCTTTGAGTGTCTTTGACTTTTTAACATCAGTAGTAGTTTTTTTGCTATTTGACAGGAATAATTTCTGTCAACTGAACACCCGCATTGCTGGCTTAAGGAAAACCTGAGCACTGCTTTATTTTGAAGAACTTGGGTTGAGAGAAAGTCTATATTCACAAATAGACAAATTTCACTTCTTCAGGTATTGTTATTCTATGCTTAATTTATGAAGTACTTCTCTACATTCTTTCTGTTTTTTTCTTTTTGGCTACTCTGGTATTTTCAATGTTCACTGTCTGCAAAATTTAGATGCAAAAGACTGTTGCCAAAATCATTCTTATTCCAGACAAATCTTTGGCACCCAGTGAAAGATAATGACGAGGTCAAGTGCAAAAAATGTAATATTTAGGAGGAAGCATCTTAAATATTTTTTCGCTGTTTGGTCCAAGTTGTATTTTGAAGTTGCTTTCTATTTCATAGGAGAATTTTCACACTTGAAATGTATACACAGAATGGGTTGCATTGGAAGGGACCACAGTGGGGTCATCTGGTCCAACCTCCCCTGCCCAAGCAGGGTCATCCTAGAAAATTTGTAATGAAATCAGTGCATTTTTCTTAGCTGAACCTGAGTTGAAGCAACAGTGTTTTGAATTCTATAAGTAGCAGTTACCTTAATTTTTCAAAATTACTGGTGACTCTTTCACCAGAAAGCTTTTTTTTGTGTGCATTTTTTTGTTTTTTTTTTTTTTTGTGGTTGGTTTTTTTGGGGGGTTTTTTTTTGGGTTTTTTTTTTTGTAATCTACTTCATTTGATTCTAGTTCAGTGAAAATACAGCAGAGACAGTCTTTGAATTTTTTCCAGCACTGTTTTTTTAAATGAATAATTCTAGGCATTCAAATGCAAACCACCCTTTAGGAATAGCTTTCCAAAGCCATTTTTACTAATTTTTCTCTACTATTTAGCTAAGGAAATGCACAAAGATTTTTAGTGTCTTGTTTATCCTTGAGAGCGGCTGGTTCTTTTCCATCTAGGTGTAGCAAAATTTGGTTTCAATTTTGTGGGTTGTTTTGCTTTGTTTGTATCATTGCAGAGTGGTGACTTAGATGAGAATTCTTTAACATGAGAGTTGACCATTGGATCTTATTTAATATGTTTGAAAGTTTCCTCAGAAGCAACCTGTTCACATCCTTAGTTCTGTTTTCCTGACACATTCATTGTAGTTCAGCGTGGGAGAGGAATGAATTTCTCTATGGGTCATAGGAATTTTAAGTAAATTAGTTTGGTCTCATATACAAATACTAGTGTACAGCTGGCAGGCTTTCCTCAAAGCATCTGTTCTGTACTGTCTGTTCTACTTTACATATTTTAATAAAGTGCATTTTAATATAATGAATATGAACCTTTCAGTTCACAAATTTAAATTTGTATCTAGTCCAGGTTTTCAACAATATTTCTCGTCTCATAATAATCATGAAGCATTCTTATTAATGATGCTGTCAGTGTCCAGGGTTCTCTAAGCAAAATATTAATAATAAAATTTGCTGCTTATTAATATTAGGAGATGCCTAATGTTTGCGTTATCTGTTCTTTTCTGACATTGTCCTTCCTGCAAGTGAAAATGCAACAAACAGGAGTCTACGACCTGTTGGATGTCTTCTCCAATCAATTTACCTATGCATTTCATAATAAACTTGTTCTGCCACACTGCAGGCAGAGTGCAGATGGGTGGGTCTTCACATATCTTCCTCCAGAAGTCTGTTCTTAGGTAATGCTTAAGAGACAGTGGGTTTCCTGCTCCCATCTAAGCAAGCATTCCTTTCTGCTTTCCTACCCTTTCTGTGAAAACTCCACTGGCTTTGTCTGTCAGCTGTTTCCTTTGGATGCCCATAAAGGAAGCCTGGCTTTGGATGCTGCTTTCACAATCTGCAAAAAAGTTCCTTACTTACTTCCTTCTCTGGAGAGAGGGATTCTTCTGACTGAGTTTAGCTTGTCCCAGTCTGCCTTGTTTGCCACAATGTAAATAGAGAAGTACTGATTTTATAACTGGATTAATTTGGTCTCCAATGTGGTGTATGCCATTTTTAAAGTTACTTTTGCAGTATTTTCATTCAGAAGGTGGAAACAGAAGCAGCATTTTATTGGAATTTAAGGACACAGTAATTAAAATACAAGGGTCCATTTCTAAGTGTTCTTCTGAATTTTAATGCTGGTGATAACCAAAGTGTTAACAGTGAGAGTTTATAAGTTGTTTGCCTATCGTGTGTGCTTTTGCACTTGTCATATTAATACTGAGTTAACATCCTTTGCCTGTAAAATTAGTTTGTAACTCTTGAGAAACTTAATTTTTTTTCTAATGTTGCTTTGAACTTCATCCACTCTGGGATACCGTAACTTTTCATCTGCCTGCCCAAGTTTATATGCATCTTGAGAATGAAGTGGATGTTCATGTAAAATGAAACAAGATACTCTAGACTGATAATTGTATTTAAGTTGAGCTTATGAACTTCCAAATGCACAAGCAGTCTTGATTTGTGCCCTCTTATGTGAAGCATTACACTTTCTACTTGAGCTCTGAATTTACACATCCTTTCTTTCCTGTGCTGCAAATATCTGAAAGAACCTCAGATGTTAAAAAAAGAAATCCTCCCTTTATGCTTAGTCCAGGAATAAAAATTTCCAACCTAAGCATTTGAGCAACTTAAATGGAGGTTTAGCTTTAGTTTGAGCTAAGCTTTTACATTTCAACAAAGGGATGAGATTAAAGGTTGTGGATTATTCATTACCTACTATAATTGTATATCTAATGTTAAAAAATAATAAAAAAAGCTGAAATTTTATTTTGCAAGCATTAATAGATGCCGCTGCTGTTCAGTGTTGCCCAAGAATCCTATCGATATTTGCATCAATTCAGATTAGCAGCTTTGCGAAATAGGTGGTGAGAGAACTGGGATTCTCTTCTTGATAAATAAAGAATTGTTAAATTGGTTAAAATTCAGATGTTTGCGATGTGTTACTGGAAAACATTGGATGTTAAATCTGTCCCTCTTATGATAGTTATCTGGAAAACATGATTACTAAATTCTTAGCATAATTTTTTGTTTTTAAACTTGAATTAGCTGTCTGTTTGTTTTCAGCTGCTTAACTGATTTGCAGCTCAGTTCTCATGAGATGCTTCACTGGGTCTTGTGAGTGTGGTGCTTCATCAGAAAAATGTGTGAAACTATTTAATTTCTTCAAGTTAATGTAATGTAATTGCTATTAACTTGATCTGTGTTCCATTCAACTTCATATTTGATGATAATGCTTGGTCTTTCAGTTGTATTGATCTTTAATTTCAAGAATACCACAGGCAGAACAATTCAGAGAACTTTTTTTTAGTTACTGAAATTTATGCTTACTTTAAATGTTAATAAATAACTATCATTATCTGCTTTTTGGGTTGCTAGTGAGTATTAATGGTTTTTTTGAAAACTGAAAGTCAAAGATGGAGACAGGAATACTTGTCTTGGGAAGTAGGTGAAATGCTGGGATACTGAAGAGAACTCACAGCTGTATGAGATAAAGGATATTAAACAGCCAAGAGACTGTTGTGAAGTTGGGTCTTCATTCTCATTTCAGTGTAGCTTTTCAGATGCTGGAAGAATCTTTCAAACAAAGAATTAAATATGTTCACACAGTCCAGTTGAACTAATTGGTCTTCATGCGGTGGGTTCTTTGTTTTGTTTTTTTCTCCCCCCATTTATTCAATCTTTCTTCTGCTTTTCGCTTCACATTATCATTTTGCTCTTGGTCTTCCATCAGTTTACAGTCTTAACTTGCTTTCCAGTAAAAAGTTCCCTGTTTCATCCTTTCTTTTAGTAAGCAATACATTTTGCAAGGTTTGGAATGTTAGTTGTGTTCAGAGCATTGGCCATTCCCAGGTCATTGCTGCTGCACAAGGCTTAGTCAGCTGATCCCACGGTCAGTGACATTTCTATTCCTGCTTAATGCTGGTTATCTGAAGAAGTTACTCAGTTACTAGTTTATTTCTGAGAATAATACTTGGAGCAGGCTATAGTGATTAGTTGCATCATTTTTATTCTCATACTGATTAAATGACAGTGAAATAGGAGCTTTACATTAAAAAAATACTGCAGTTTTCCCACACAATCTGTGTTTTGAACACTTTGTATCTTAACTTTCTTGCACATTCTGTTTTGTTTTCTCTGTGTCAAATCTGTCTTAATGATGTTCAAGATTTTTTTAGGTTGACTGAAAAAGTTTGTTAAACACTGCTTTCCTGCAGCATTACACCATGATGGAGTTTCTCATTTAGTGTCTGTCTTTGTATCTAAGAGCAAGGTTGCAGCTGAGGGACTTAAATCTCATTCAGTGAACCTGCCTGCTTTTGTCTGCAACAGAAATTTCACATGGAAGGACACCATGACTTTCTGCCTTCTTGTGCTGTTTTTCTCCCATTCCTTGCAATTCAATTAATCATACCTATGGTATGTGAAAGAACAATGAGCTGTTGGTATATTTGGTTGAAACAAGTGGGAGGGTTTACAGGAAATCTTGCCAAAAAATTGGAAACAGATGAAATGTGTGGTATTTTCAACTACAGGGAGCAAATACACCAGCAAAGCCTAAGGTAAAAGGAAATGGAGGAAATGCTGTCCAGATGTGCAGTTCTGCTACACATTTGTATGTAGGTTCAGTATGGAGCTAAGTTTCTCTTAGTATTTTTGGGTATATTTGGTGCTTGTTGGGGTCTTTTCATAATTGAAGTAGTTTCTGACCTTAAACCTACAGTTAGAATGATTTCTAAGAATAAAAATCTGAGGGTTTTTTTTTTGTGGTGGGGAGGTTAAAATTTTATTTTATTTTTAAAATTGGAAGGTACTTTTCCTTCCCTACCTCTCCATCTTCAAATCCCTCAGAAAGACCTACCAGCAGTGCATGAAAAAGTTTGTGTAATGAAGACAAGTGAACAATTAGCTGTGAGTTCATGAGCTCAGGGGCAAATCTCCCAGCCCCCAAAGGGGTGCACAAAGAGAAGCATCCAGCTGAGGCACTGCTGCCTGCATGACCCTGGGAGATAACACAGCTCACTTTGCAAGTTAAGCCTGTGAAAGGAGATTTGAAACAGGTTAAGCCCATGTCAGATCTCTGATTAAATAACTTGCTATTTTTTACATTTTTTTTCTCAAAAGTTAAAATACCACTGAGGCACAGACACTAGAGACCCCAAGTGAGACCATCCCTGCTGCAGAGTATTTACTTTCCCTGAGCAATGGGAGAAAAAAAAACACCCTCTGACTTACAGACTGGCAATTAATGATTTGATGAAGCACTGAGATAATGGTGTGCCCAAAACAGAATAGCTGCATACTGTACTGCACTTTTAAGTCATTCAGCATGATAAGATTTATTTAAATAAATGAGCTAATTTTTCTTATATTCTGGCATCAAAACACTGCTAGAGAAAGAGGAATTTATATTCACTTGGCAGTCAAAGATAATCTTGCATGTAATATTTAAATCTTTGTTTCTGCAAACATTGGTGTGCACAGATTTCTCCACTTTATTTTTTGAGAAAGATCCTCAACTAGAATGCACAAATGTAATATAGTAATTCTTATATTTATACTTATTCAATCACCAGCAGGCATAAACTCATCTATATTTAACTGATAATGTAATAATCCTATTACAATAAATGACATTTTCTACAAGAGAGTTGAAGGACATGCAAAGAGTGAGACACTTCAGACTTCACAAATGGATGTCTTAAACTGGACTTAAACACTTCTAAGTAAGACTGAGGAAATGGGGATAGTTGGAAGAAGAATGTGCTGATATTTTTTTATTGGTGTGTGTAGTGGGAGAAGGGTTAAATATAAGTTGGTAGCAGTGGGATACATGGAAATCCTAGGGAAAGGACCATGAAAAGAGAGGAGTATTACAGACTGAAAAGGGTTTAATGAGGAGGTACAGATTGTGCCAATGATAGAGAATGTGCAGAAATGGCTGCAAATGGGTCTTGAAATAAAATCATTGATAATAATTAAGGATTTTTGAGTCTATGGCTTGATCTGGGAGAAATAATTGTAGTACAAGTATTCCACCACACTAGTAGGAGGGAAGAGGTGGACATACACCAGAGCTTCCAGGATGGCTGCAGTTCTCTGCCGGCTGCACCTTTCCTCCCAGAGGTAAGAGCTTGACCTTGAATCACTTCTGCCTGAGGAAGGAAGTCAAGAGGGAAAGATCCAGGTTGGTAAGTAATTTACCCTCTAATCTGCTAGCAAAATTTAAAGAAGGATGAGGTCTGTGCAGCTTTTCAAAGAGAGGAACTGCTGAGTCTTAAGGGAGACTAAACCTCTGAGTATGAAATTTTTCAGGAGAGGTTTAAGATAAAGTTTCAGCCTTCCCCTGTCATCTAGTTCACATGAATAATAAGTCTCATTGTTGGCTGATTTGGATCCACTTTTGTAGGTCTCCTTACAGTCTACGTGGAATGCTCTGATACTGCAGAGTTTTGGGGCCGTGTTCTTTTTAATCACCAAGCTTCACAGACTTATGATGAGCCCAGAGTCCTTGGCCAGTAATGTCACAAAGATTAATATCCAGTACAGATAAACTTAAAATCTTCCTGTAATGTTAGCACAAAAAAGGCATGCCTGTATCAGAGTCTTCTACCCCAACAGCTAAAGAAATGCACCAAAACACTGGATGAAAAGATATATTAAATCACAGTCTAAATTTTTTTCATGATTCTTTCTAAATCAAATTACTTTAAACACTTTGTTTCATGTTCATAACATTGTGCTCAAAAAAGATTATAAAAATAGATGCGTGAAATATGTAAATAAAACTGAGTTTCTTTTCTTTTTTTTTTTTCCTGAACTGGGATTGAGAAGGTATGAAAAGATACTTCACTCCTAGGTTTTAACAAATTCATGGAGTTTATTGCAAAAATATTTTCAAAACTTTCACTCAGCCCTTTTTTGCCATTTTTTTTGCAAGTAATAGGAATGGATATGAGAGTTGGACCAAGTCTGGCTAATCTGATACTCTGCCTCTGGCCACAGCCAGTCGTGAGAACAAGAAGAGCAGTGTGAGAGCAAGGAAAGCAGAAGCTGCCTCCAGCAAGCTCACCTAACATCCAGTTTGCTGAAACTTTCTGAATCAAGACCCTTCCTGGATTTTTAGTTCGCTGAATTATTTCAGTTGCTTTATGGTTTGTGGATTACATAAGTAGTTGCTCAACACAACTTGAACAAGCTCAGAAAACCTTTAAATGAAGGAAGATTCTGTAGCAAAATGTAATTTTTTAAAAAAATTGTTATATCATCTGCAGTACCAATATGATTCACTTGAGAGCCAAGAACAAAAAAGTCCACTGAGAACTCTCGAAAGGACAAAGTTAAGCATGGATTTTCTCTGTTAAATAGAAACTTTAACCAAATATAAAAAATTATCAAGGTGATAAAAGGAATGTTATTCTACAGGCAAAATGGCATTTACTTTGCAAAATTAAATTTGGGCTGCACTTGATAGAAATGTGGTTGGAAAGTTTCTGTTTCTAGGTGTGTCTAGAAGGGCTATCCACAGACTTTTCACACTCTGTTTTCCCTTGGAAAAATATCTCACAGCTCCAGCAATGTTACCTTTGGAGCATTTGGTCAAAGTTTCCATCTTTATTGCATTTGGTATTACAGAGGAAGCATTCTAAAGCAACCTACAGGAGAACTAAATATAGGAGTTAGATGGGGGCAGGTGCTGCACTCCCACTGAATCAAGTGCTTCTGTCCCTTTACAAAGACAAAATGTACTTGATGTGAGGTTGGTTACTGGTTTGGGTTTCTTCTTCCCTATAGATTTCTTCCCTCATGCTCAGGTAGGGTCCCCTCTGTGTCTTGTCATAGGAAAACCTACTCCCAGGTGCAAGCTGGGTCCTTTACTTTCTCAAGTAATTACTTCAGAAAACACTTTCCGAAATAAAGTAGAGCCCTTTCATAAGAGATTGAATTTCAAGTGTACTGTAATTTGCACAGAGCTAAGATTATTTTACTTCCACTATAGAGAGTTTCTAATTTGTGAAATGGAAAAAGTCCTTTTCATACATTGTGGTCATTGGTTGTTAGCTGTGCAGGTGCTCATCTAGTTGTCAGCTGTGCTGGGCACCTCTGCAGTCTGTGTGCCAACCTCTGCAGCACAGTTCTGGCCCAGAGCTTTGCCACTTGAGTTGTTCTCAGTCAGATTTAACCAGCTCAGCAGTACCCCTGGACTGCTGCAGGTTTCTGACTCACAGCTGGATCACATCTGGGAAGTTCAAAGAAGGATCAGTTCAAATCCATGGGGTGTGCAAACAAACAGATACATCAGACATAGCGGGTGAGTCTGAGATTGAAATGAGATTTGCCTTAAATTCATGGATTAATAGCAT